GACAGATAATTTCAAAGCAATGTGAGCAGTACTATAGTAAAGGAAGGATGAAGTGCTGGAAAGCCTGTCTGATGACTCTCACCACAGATGCGTGTTTGCTAGAGGTACCTTGGGTGTGTTTTTGCCTCAAATGTTGCACACCTTTTGAGAACACCCCAACTTTTTTGTTTTTGCATCTTCTACATGGCCTGAAACAAGGCTTGCAGTATCATATGCTCTCACATATCTTTATTTAAATAAGTGAGTGGAGGCAGTAAGTTCAACTGACTGTAGTTGAGAGTCAGTTATTTCGTCTTTCAGCCTACCCTCTGAAATGGATATTAGATCTTATGTACCTTTTCACTGGGGTTTTTTTGAATTGCATATTTTTCTCCTCTAGCCTGTAAATGTATTAAATACTATCCAAAGATTTCCTAATGGTAAACATTCTGAAAAAATGACTAAACTCTTGGTCTGGGGTCCAGCCCTGTGGTGTAGTGGTTAAGTTTGCATGCTCCACTTCAGTGGCCAGGGGCTTGCTTACAGGTTCGGATCCTAGGCACCAACCTACACCACTCATCAAGCCATGGTGTGGTGGCGTGCCACATATGAAATAAGGGAAAATGGGCACAGATGTTAGCTCAGGGCCAATCTTCCTCACCAAAAAAGAGGGAAAAACTCTTGGTCTGGAAAAACAAATCTTATTGCATTCAATAGGAATGCCCTCCCTACCAGCTGAAAGGCAAAAAGGGCCTTTTTTCCCTGCTTGTGAGTATATGGTGACCTTCCTTTCTAAAAGAAACATTTCTTATTCCAGCTCTTGTCCTTTTTTATCCTAGTAAGAATCAGATGGAATTGTAGCATTCTTTAAATAAAAAAATAAAAATTAATATCAGCTCTTTTCTTCATTATGATGCAACCAAGAGTTGATGTGATCACTTTGCTGGTTTCTCCCTCTCTCTGGTTCATCACTTGTCTACCATGATCATCCTCCTTACTCTTGCTGTTGGTGTTTCCTTCCCCTCTCGGCTCCCTCTTCTAAACTAAACATATGTATTATACTGTTTAACCTGGAGTATTTAAAAACAAATTACACACAATGTTAGCACCAGCACAATTTCTGAATATAGCAGGTACTGAGGATTTGTTGAAAGAAGATATTCTAGATTGAAATTAAAGTGAATAACCAATCTGTACCCCTACGAAAATTCAAATTAGCATATTTACGATGTATGTGGAGAAAAGGGAACCCTCATACACTGCTGGTGGGAATGCAAACTGGTACAGCCACTATGGAAAACAGTATGGCAATTTCTCAGAAAACTAAAAATTGAAATACCATACGGTCCAGCTATCCCACTACGGTGCCTGAAGCCTAAGATTCCTTCTAGTCTGGAATTCAGCCTCTAGAGAGGATCCTGTCACCCGGTTTTGACTGGAAGGCTCATTCAATCGCAGCTAGAACAGTGGTTCTCATTCCTGGCTGCACCTCAGAATTTCCAGGGGAGCTTTTAAAAAATTCCAGTGCCTAGAGCCCAACCCACATTATTCAAATGAGAATCTCTGGAATCATGGCCTGAGGAAAGGGATTTTTTAAAAGCTCACCAGATGTTCCCAGGGTGCAGCCAGAGTTGAGAAGCATGTGCTAGAAAATGGAGTGACTCATTCAAGAAAGGGATTTGTGAGGGTGCCTTAAAACACAGTGCTTCTCAAACTTCAGTATGTATATAAGTCATCTGAGGATCTTGTTAAAAGACAGATTCTATTTCGGGAGATCTGGGGTGAAACCTGGGACTCTGCATTTCAAAAAAACACTCCCAGGTGATGCTGATGCTGCTGGTCCATGGGCCACACTTTGAGTAGCAAGGCAAAAGCAAGGACTTCAGTGAGCTTATGGAACGTATTCCATGACTTGTTTTTGCCTGCATACTACTTGCATGGCAGAGTTCAGTTTGCTTTAGATGAGGTAGTCAGTAAAGGCCTCTGAAGAGGTGATGTGCTAGTGGAGGTGCTACAGGCTGAGGAGGAGCCAGATCTGAGAATGGGGAAAGAGCATCCCAGGCAGAGGGAGGAGCAGAAATGTCAGGGCCCTAAGACAGGAGAGACTCACTTTTGAGGAGCTCAACTGCCTGTGTTATGTTTGGTTTGTTTCATTGATGGGAAAGATAACTTTAAAAAAGGAGATGTCTTGGGCTGGCCTGGTGGCATGGTGTAGTGGTTAAGTTCGCAAGCTCAGCAGCCCAGGGGTCGCAGGTTCAGATCCTGGGCGCGGACCTAGCACTGCTAGTCAAGCGATGCTGTGGCGGCATCCCACGTAAAATAGAGGAAGATTGGCACAGATGTTATCTCAGCACAATCTTCCTCACCAAAAAAAAGGCGATGCCACAAGCCATCCTTGCCTGATACATCACCTTGAAACCAGTTCTTGAAATAGAAAATCAGGAAAGTCTGTCACCGTGTGTTCAAGGCAAAAGAGAGTTGAGTCCCAAGACTCAAACTTTGGGTGAGTCTAATTCCAGGATGATACCTGTGGTTCAGATTATTCTCTAGAACAGCCTCACAGACTCATGAGTGAGGAAGAGGGGCCTCCCATAAAAGAGAGGAATAGTTTAAAAGAGCTTTTGCACTAAAACCTCCAAGAGAAACTTCCTCAGATCCTCTAGTCTCTGCTCCTCCTCTGGCGCTTTAAGAGCTAGTTCACCCATCCGTCACGCTGTAGAAAAGACAGAGAAGTGCAGGTTTGGGCAACACTTTCACAGCTGAGTGTCCTCAAACCCGCCCACCCGCACCCCTTCCATCCCTGGATTCACCATCCAGCCCTAGCATTGCCTCAGCCCTTCTTGTTCGGGAGGTCTCACTTGGTGGCAGTGTCCTGCTTCCGATGGCTGCTTGGCTCCTGATTCTGCGTGGCCCCTCCCTTTGGACACATCTGCTGTGCCAGCACAGACATGGAGTTCCCCCACTGTGGCCCGCAAGACCCTCTCCAGGGAAGAGGCATTGGATGTTGGTAGCCTCAGCACCAGTGGTGGGCCACACTGAAGTCTTTTCTGCGCCCCCAGGGCTGCCACAGGAAGCCTTCCTGCCTTGACTTGGGAGCTCAGCTGCAGACAGCTCTACAGGAAGCCAGAGCAGAAAAGGAGGAAAATGCTGGTCCCCACATGTTTACTGAGGGAACACGTGCATCCCAGATATGAAACACTGCTGGGAGGGTTGAGGGAGATGGCTGGACTTGTGATTTCAGGTAGGGGCAGAGTCCAAAATATATACTGTGACTTTGGAGTTTCTGGTTTTAGCCCGAGGCTGCTGTTGTGTACATAGAGGACAAAGTAAAACCACCTAAGAGGGAAACGGGGTGGGGGAAGGCAGGCTTCCAGGAGGAGGTGGTATTTAAACTAAAGTTAGCCAGGTGAACAGAATGGGGGGTCGGGGGGGGTGACAGAATAAGGCCACAAGTAATTCCTTAAAGCCAGAGGTGTGTGGGGAGGAGGTAGGACGGGATTATAGAGAAATGAGGTTAGAAAGATTGTTAATTGTATTATACATAACATGCCACTCATTTACTATGTGTTCATCTCCAATTCATCTTAGATTGAGCCAAAGAAAGGTTGATGCTGTATTTGATAGTCTTTATTTGGGCTGCTAATGTTGGGAGATAATTCTGCACAGGTCTCTAACATTTATTCAGTCCTGTGCCAGAAGCTCTGACAGCTTTTGTTCCGGATGGTCTCTTCAAGGATGTTTGTATAGCCAAGGGCCTCAAAAGATGAAGGTAATGTCTGCCACTGGAGCAGAGGGCAGGTTTATTTACTGTCCTGTATAATAAAGAGAATGTCTTCCTCCAGGCAAAGGTTGGGTTTCTTAAACTCAGGGGTCTTCAGCTGTGAGGCAAAACCTCTGTGTGTGTGTGGCATCTATCTGGACGGTTCCACATTATCCCGGAGTCTGGATGGGGGCAGCGTCGGGGGTGGGGGGCAAAGGGAACCAATCAGAACATGAGGATTATGCTGCCTGCTGTGCTCTGAGTAATAAAAGTCCTTTGCCTCTGAACCAGCAGTCTTGTGTCTTCTGTTAATGACCATGAAACTGTGGTAGGCTAACCTTCACAGCTCTTGACATGAGGTGTTTGCCATTTTGAGAAGCAAACAATTAGCTTTGAGTCTAGCTTTTTTAACACGCCCTCAGAGTTGATGAATCACGTCCACACCGTGCCCTGGTACAGTCCTGCCTGAGGCAGGATTTTAGGCGAGTTGACTGATCCATAGGCCTTCCATTATTAAAATGCCTTGGCTTATGAATCTGAGCTTTCCCTGGAGGCAAACAGCAGCCAAATAAAAGGTGAATATTTCACTAATGTAAAGACAAATGCCAGGAAGCAGCTGGGTTCCAGGCCAGGCAGTGCTCAGCTTGCCATATGGCATAGGCTGTTAACTCAAACTACAGGAAGGAACACAAGCCGAGTTAAAATTTGAAAAAAGTCTGCTAACCAAGAAGCAATGACACAGAGGTGATACTAACCAAATAGGATTTGGCTAGGAGTTGGTTCTAGCAAAGCCCACTTTGAGGATGGGCAATGAAATATAACAAAAGGCTCTATAGGCACCTTGTATTACCTTCTCAAGGATGTCCTTATTCAAATTACCAAAATGGTAGCTCTAACAGAGTAAGTTAATGTAACTAAGCAAGAGGAGTAAGTGTTAACTCTGAGAAACTTGAGACTTCAACGTGATTGGTGGGGTTGGTCAACATAGCCCCCTGATTTACAGAAACAAATATAAACTAAACATTTTAGATTAGTAAAGAGAAGATCCCTATAAAGTGAACTTTTTGGTCATTCATCTTTGAAAGTATCTGTAATAACTCAAATCCTCTCTTCAAAACATCTAAATCTGAATGATGGAATGGAATGAAGATGAAATATGTTTTATGTGACTTCATAAAATATTTTCTTGGTGATCAAGTGAATACTTTTGTTTGACTTCTTTCATAATTTATATTTGTAAATGATTCAGACAGACATTGAAGAAAATCAAAGATTGTATTTCTGGATGTCTCTGGAGATGCACTTTATCCAAATATGGCATTATCTGAAAAGTAAATAAGAAGTATTTGTTATATAACTTATAATACATTTCACAGTTTCAAAATAGGTCTGAGGGCAGAGAGGATAAATACTGTTTCACAGATATGGAAAGTAAGGTTTAGAAACACGAAATGACTGAAAGCGTGAGAGTAGTCAATGGCAGAAGCAGAACTTGAACCCAAGTGCAGCGTTCTGAATGTTTGTGTCCCCCCAAAATTCCTATGTTGAAACCCTAATCCCAATGTGATGCTATTTGGAGGTGGGGCCTTTGGGAGGTAATTCAATCATGAGAGTTGAGTCCTCATGAATGGGATTAGCGACCATATCAGAAGAGGCCAGATAGCTAGCTAGCTATTTCTGCCGTGTGAGCAAGAAAACAGCCCTCTGTAAACCACGAAGAGCACCCTCACCAAGAACCCAACTGTGTTGGCACCCTGATCTTGGACTTCCAGCCTCCAGAACTGTGAGAAAGAAATGGTGGTGGTTTAAGCCACTCAATCTGTGATAATTTTATAGCAGCCTGAACTGACTAAGATACCCAAGTTTCATGTTTTTCAAGCTAATATGTTTCAGTAAGACTGCCCCTCTTTCAGCATCCACATCTCCAAGTGGAAGATTGAAGACAAGAGATTGGACATCGCCAGCTAAGATAACTCCTTCCCTGGTCATCACATCACTATTGATAGAAGCAAAGAGGAGTCCCCAGAACTTCAAATGCTCTTAGCAAAATCCCCAACCTCCCTCACCTTTAACACTCATAGCCTCACCACCATTTGAGACGTTAGGACTAATCTCATTCCGTCCCTTATCCCTATTTCCATTGGGTACCTCAAGAAGCCTAGGAGTCCTGGGTCATCCCACATGCCCCGGATACTAACCTTCATATGGCTCTATGGGCAGCCATGCATCCCTACCCAGCATGTCCTGTCTGCCCCCATTCTGCTGCTTTGTTTCCCCCTAGCTCTCATCCCCTTACCACTATCTGCCTCTACCTGCTGAAATGTAAACTTTATGAGGCAGGGGTTTTATTCATCACTGTATTGTCAAGCACTTAGAACAGTGCCTGTGGAAATATGGGAGTCGTCAGACTAGACACGAGATTTTAAGTCCTGTAACAGGTCAAAGACGAGCAATCTGTCTAGGTTGAGATCACCTAGAAACTAAGTGAAGATGATAAGAAGAGGGCCCAGTATTGAGCTTTGGTGTTCTTCAACATTCAGAGAACACAACAGGGCCATCTTATATGAAGAGGATGTTATTTGATTCATTAAATATTTGTTGAGGGCCGGCTAAAATAATATGTTCATCAATTTTTAGAGGTCGTGCCCCATCGCCTTATTAGTTCTTATTTTACAATTGAGGGTTTTCTCTATGCATCTGCTGGCCGCCTGGGGAGAAGGGGAACAGAACTCTCATCTGTTCTCAATCTACTGTGGCAGGCCGGACTTTTGGTGTAGAATGGGGTAAGTTCTCTTTTAGGGCGAGTTCACCTTTGACTGCTTTCGAGCAAACTCCTCCAATATAGATTTGTTTTCCAGGAACAAAGCTGACATTTTTACCTCCATCTATCTCTTAAATGCTGTAAGCTCGGATTAGGAATAGAAGGGTATTACTGTTGACCTTTTCAAACTTTAACAGTATTCAGAAGAAAGCAGGCACTCAAAAAAATGTCAGCATCCTTCTCTATACCCAGAAGTCCATATCTAAATCCTTGATTAGAATTAAAGTTGAAACCAAAGACCATAAGTTTCAAGTAGAAATTAATGAGAAAACCATGGGAAAAAATTGTAATAAGCTCTTGAGAATACACAGCACTGGGTCAACAATTACCTACCATTTATTTAGACAAGGGGTTCTCAAACTTTTGGGTTTCAGCATCCACTATACTCTTAGAAATTATTGAGGACCCTATCAAACTTTTGTTCATGTGTGTTATCTCTCTCAATATTTACTACATTAGAAATTTAAACTGAGAAAAATATTTAAAACTCAAGAATACAAGTCCGCATTCCATTAATGGTCAGTGTAGAAATGTCATTGCACTTCATACTGTTTCTGGAAAACTCCATCGTATTCCCACGAAAGCACAAGAATAAAAAAGGCAAATAATATCTCAGTAACATTATGAAAATAACTTTGTCCTCATGGGCCCCTGAAAAAGACTTGGATACCAGGGGTCCCCAGACCACTTTTGAGAACTACTAGTTTAGACTAATAAAGAAAGAGCATGTATTTACATACCAATTACCATACATTTAAATGAAGTCTATACTTATTCAGTATCTTGTCATCATAAAGCTGAGTTTCTGTTCACGTCTCTTTATCTAAAAGGAACACAAAGCTTTTTTGCAATATTTAAAGGTTTGTTTTAATGTTCCAGAATTGTTGGCTTACACCGTTGATATCCTTAATGTTGGTTATGGAAGTGATATTCGTTAGACTCTGTTTTGTAGAAAACTATGTGTATTCATGTAAAGTGGTAAACTGTTTGTCACAGGAGATGGGTTTTACCCTCCACTATTAAACTGCTGAGAACTAACCTACTAGCTCTGACTCAGGTCATCTAGTTCCAAGTAACTCAATCAGAATAAAAGATTACACAGATTTGCTTGGCATTAGGAACACTGACGGCATTCCTCCTTGTGAATTTTTCTGAGTAAAATAAATACAAGACTGTTACAGATTAACTTTAAAATGCAATGGAGCATCTCAGTTTTCCCTGCCACTCTGTGTCACCCTCTCTACACCACTTACTAAGAGCCTGGGGCAAATATGTCACAGCACCCTCGTCAAAGAAATTCAGTCTCCAATATGGCGATTCTTTTGTTTCTGATCTAACTTAATCATTTGTTGGTTGTATTTAATATAATTACACTCTCCTCTTTTTTTTTAATAAATACAAAAAAATACCCTCAGTTGCTTGCCTTGACTTAGAAACAAATATTCACTATCAAGGTATTTACCAGTTCCTCTTTGTCTTCCTGCAAAATAATACTACCACCACTGCACAACCCCCACCCCAACCTCCCTCCACATGTTATTATTATTTCTCAGGGCTTTTTTTTTTTTTTGAGGAAGATTAGCCCTGAGCTAACATCTGCCACCAATCCTCCTCTTTTTGCTGAGGAAGACTGGCCCTGAGCTAACATCTGTGCCCATCTTCCTCTGTTTTATATGTGGGATGCCTCTACAGCATGGCTTGACGAGTGGCGTGTAAGTCCACACCTGGGATCTGAACTGGTGAACCCCGGGCCACTGAAGCAGAATGTGCGAACTTAACCACTGCACCACTGGGCTGGCCCCTGTTTCTCAGGGCTTTTTTTTGATATTTGTCATCCAAATCATTTCCATTGTATCTCAATTTTGCACATCAAGTTTATGCACAGGCCACAGAAATTGATGAGATAGCAGGCCTCTGGAGTTTTTAGTGGTCTATTATAATTATCTAGAACCTCAAAATGAGGTTCTCAGGCCATCAGCATCAGAATCACTTTAGCCCGCAGAGAACGCAGATTCCAGGACCCAAAGGAGAGCCCATTGAATGAGCCAGCCTGGAGGTGGAGCCTGGGATTCTGTCAGCACAAGAAAATGAGAATTCCTGCTGCTTTCACCTTCAGGCAGATTGCTTTTAAACTGTCCCAAAGCAATACTTAGGAACCTCTTTCAATCCCAGAAATTCTTCCTAAGTTGACTTATAAAACCCTCCTGTCGATTGAGTGGGAGTCCTACCATAACATCTTACTTTTTGGTGGAAAGTGCTTTTTCTCGGTGTGAACAAGGAGACTCAGCGTGACCCAGGAGCTCCTGCCACTGTCGGGGACAGGCTCTCTGATTTGGGTGTGAATAAAGGACTTATAGACACCAGTGAAATGCCTCTTTTGGACTCGCAGTAAGCTGACTTCATTGCTCCTTTCCACCAAGCAGTTGGATTCACGCTTTTCGTTGATCTCCTCCAGGAGACGTTGTTTATCTGCTTTACGTTTTTTAGTCATTTCACTAGGTCTGTTTATAGATGCCATTATGCTGACAAACCAGTTGTCAAGTGACTCTTGCTGTCCTGTAAACAAATGAAAAAATACTATTAGTTGCCTACTTAACCTAGAAGCCAGTATTCATGACCTGGTATTTACCAGTTCCTCTTTCTCCTCCTGCAAAATACCACCACCACTGCACCCTCCACCCTCCACTTCGATCTTTTTTTGTTTTTTGGTGAGGAAGATTGGCCTTGTGCAAACATCTGTTGGCAATCTTCCTCTTTTTTCCTTTTTTTTTTTTTTTTGCTTGAAGAAGATTGGCACTGAGCTACCAACTGTGCCAATTTTCCTCTATTTTGTAATGTGGGACTCTGCCGAAACGTGGCTTGACGAGTGCAGTGTGTAGGTATCCACCCAGGATCCGAACCCACGAACCCTGGGCCACCAAAGCAGAGTGTGTGAACTTAACCACTATGCCACCAGCCTGGCCCCATTGCTCCATCTTTTGTTACTGTTTCCTAAAGTTTTTTTGTTTTTTGATGATTCTTCAGGAAGAAAAAATTTTTAAAAAAGAGGATATTGAAAGAGAATATATTTTGGTTTTGAAATTAATACTATGAGTGGATTCTTGCTTTTAGGAATTTTCGTTGTTTCTTCTGATTATAAAATAATATAAATGTTCATTGTAGAAAATTTTTAAAAAGAAGAAAAGCATGAAGTAGAAAAGCTAAAATCATTCTTAATCCAGAGACAATCAAATTAACATTTTGGATGTTTCTTTCACAATAAATATCCAAAGGGATTTCATTACAAAAAGTACAGAAAAAGAGGGGCTGGCCCTGTGGCCGAGTGGTTAAGTTCGCGTGCTCCGCTGCAGGCAGCCCAGTGTTTCGTTGGTTCGAATCCTGGGCGCAGACATGGCACCGCTCATCAAACCACACTGAGGCAGCGTCCCACATGCCACAGCTAGAAGGACCCACAACGAAGAATATACAACTATAACCGGGGGGGCTTTGGGGAGAAAAAGGGAAAAAAACAATCTTTAAAAAAAAAAATCAAATCACCCGAAAACTGAAATCAACTACGATTAAACAAGCAATAGAGTCTAGCAGTAAGAGCATGGATTTTGGATACAAAAAGACTTGGTTCCTATCCAAGCTATGCTAACTGTACCACCCTGATTAAGTGACCTTCTCTGGGCCTCAGTTTCCTTACATGTTAAACGGCAACAGTACCCAACTCACAGTGTCAGAAGGATAAAATGAGCTAATGCATATCGAAAGCTTAATATAGCCAACCCTCAATAAATGGTAACTTTAATATTTTAATTAGGCACTCTGGAAAAAAAAAAGATTGGTTCAATTGGATAAATAAATAGTAATTTTTGTTCCTCCAGTTACTAATCTGTTTACTTGCTGTGTGACCAGGACCAGCTATGTAATGTGTGAGGCCTAGTGCAAAACCAAAACGCTGGGCCCCTTGTTGAAAAATCGTTGAGAATTTCAAGATGGTGACAGCAGAGTGTTAAGCCAGGTGCAGGGCCCTTGTGAGTGTGAGGGCCTTGTGCAAGGGTAGAGGTCCCGTGCCTATAAAACTGGCTGTGTCTGTGACATAGGAACAGGTCAATTTTCATGGTTAATTCACCCAGTTTTACAATCTCTTAAATAGAGATAAGTAATTTGCAAAACTATAGCTTTTAAAAGGGCTTTGTAAATATTAAGCATGTATATATTAAATAAGGTGTCTTTAAACAGAAACACACATAAAACAAGGTTATGTATTGATTGGTTGACAAAAATGTTGTGACCAGAGGCTCACAGGAACCTAGCCCTGTATTTCCACTGGGAGCAATGGTTCCGTATTTGCTAATTCAGTGTTCAAAGCCACTTTATAGAACGTAACTACCACAATAACAAGAATCAACTGTATATATAGAGAAAATATGCTACTGTTTCTACAGGTATGTTGTTATAAATTACCTTTAACATACAGCAACCCAAAGCCTATTTGAAGTTCTCTGCCTTGGCTCAGCCCGCTGGAATGTCACCCTGGCGATGGAATGGTGGATCTGTGCTGTTCCAACTTTGTTCTATTCATAGAACCCTGGTTAAGAGAAGTTTTGGAGTCAGAGTGACAATTTACCTATTAGCATTTGTCCTCGAATAAGTTACTCAAGCTCTCTTAATATCAGTTCCTTCATCTGTAAAATGGGATAAAGATAACTTTTTAATTAAGTTGCACACTTGTCTGTATGTGGTAGGAGGTGAGGAGTTGGAATTAAATGAGATATGTATCTAAAGCTCTTTGCATTGTGCCTGACATCAGTTTATTACATATGCCAATATTTCTTGAGGACCTAGTCTGTGCTTAGTGCTGTTCCGGGTACTGGGGGCAAATGGGAACCTGCTCCTCTCGAGCTGACAGTCGAAGGGTTTGTGGTAGGTACTTAGTAAATTGTAGTTCCTTTATTGATCTTCTTAAAACCTTGTATTTTATGTGGAGAATTATTGTATTCATTTTTTTTTTCTCAGAAGAGGAAGCCTCTAGCTAACAAAAAAAAAAACTTCAGGAATACAAAAGTCATAATTTTTTTTTCTCTCTTTATAGGAATTAGTGAGAGAAGAAAGAAGATCGGTATTGAAGAAAGCAGTTCACAATGCCAGAGAAATTAATTCCCTAAAGAACTTCAGAAAGGGTCAGCTAAAGAAACTAGACCACTCAGCTCCGGGGAGACTGGGGTACAAAACCTATTGAGATCAACACAGGGCAGTTGCTAAGAATAAGAAGGTATTTTTTCATTATTTTTGTTTTTTGTTTTGTTTTGGGGTTTTTTTGGTGGGAAGATTGGCCCTGAGCTAACATCCGTGCCCATCTTTGTCTATTTTGTATGTGGGAGGCCACCACAGCATGGCTTTGATGAGCAGTGTGTAGGTCTGCACCCAGGAACTGAACCCTCAAACCCTGGGCCACGAAAGCAGAACGTGCAAATTTAAACCACTACACCACAGGGCCGGCAGCCTTTTTTTAATTTTTTAACAAGCTCCCAGATAATGCAAGAGACCTAATCAGTTTGGCACAACCTTGGCACCTGAGGGCCAGGGGCTACAGCCAATCTTCCCTTCTTCTAGTACAACCTGGAGGAAGGTTTCTGGGTTTTCTTTTTGAGGAAGATTAGCCCTGAGCTAACTGCTGCCAATCCTCCTCTTTTTGCTGAGGAAGACTGGCCCTGAGCTAACATCTGTGCCCATCTTCTTCTACTTTCTATGTGGGACACCTACCACAGCATGGCTTTTGCCAAGTGGTGCCATATCCGCACCAGGGATCCAAACTGGCGAAGCCCGGGCCACCAAAGTGGAACGTGAGAACTTAACTGCTGCGCCACTGTGGCTGGCCCCGGAGGAAGGTTTCCACATCTATGAGCTTCAGCTTCCTTAACTGTAAAATGGGGCTGATATCAGTACAGAGCTATTGTGAGGGTTAAACAAGATAATAGATAAAAGGACATTATAAACTATAAAGTACAATACAAGCATTATGACTTTTTCTAAAATGTATATTAGACTATTAATTCAGAAAGTTATATGTGCCGTGCCTAAGAGTAACACTATCATTATTTTACAGTGCGATAATTTGTTATGTAAGAAATCCAATCTGAATAATCCTCTTCTTTTCAATTATTTTATTGAGGTCATATTGGTTTATAACATTATGTAACTTCAAGTGTACATTATTATATATCAGTTTCTGTATAGACTGCATCGTGCTCACCACCAGTAGTCTAATTTTTATCTGTCACCATACACATGTGCCCTTCTACCCCTTTCACTCACCACCCCCACCAGTAACCACTAATCTGTTCTCTTCATCCATGTGTTTGTTTATCTTACACATATGAGTGAAATCATATGGTATTTATCTTTGTCTGGCTTATTTCACTTAACATAATACACTCAAGGTCCATCTATGTTGTTGCAAATGGGACGATTTTGTCTTTTTTACGGCTGCATAGCATTCCATTATATATAGATCTATATCTAGATATATATCACATCTTCTTGATCCATTCATCAGTTGATGGGCACTTGGTTGCTTCCCCTTCTTGGCTATTGTGAATAATGCTGCAATGAATATAAGGTTGCATAAATCTCTTTGAATTGTTAATTTCATGTTCTTTGGATAAATATGCCGTAGTGTAATAGCTGGCTTGTATGGTATTTCTATTTTTAATGTTTTTGAGAAATCTCCATACTCTTTTCCATAGTGGCTGCACCAGTTTGCATTCCCACCAGCAGTGTACGAGGGTTCCCCTTTCTCTACATCCTCTCCAACATTTGTTATTTTTTGTCTTGGTAGCTATGGCCATTCTGACACATGTAAGGTAATATCTCATTGTGGTTTTGCATTGCATTTCCCTAATAATTAGTGATGTTGAACATCTTTGCATGTGCCTATTGGCCATGTACGTCTTCTTTGGAAAAATGTCTGTTCATATCCTCTGCCCATTTTTTGACCAATTTGAATAATTATTAAGACAACAATTTAGGGCCTGCCCAGTGGCACAGCAGTTAAATTCACACATTCTGCTTCGGTGGCCCGGGGTTTGCTGGTTCTGATCCTAGGTGTGGACTTACACACCACTTGTCAAACCATGCTGTGGCAGGCGTCCCACATATAAAGTAGAGGAAGATGGGCATGGATATTAGCTCAGGACCAGTCTTCCTGAGCAAAAAGAGGACGATTGGCAGCAGTTAGCTCAGGGCTAATCTTCCTCACAAAAAAAAAAGAAAATTAAATTAAATTAAAACAAAAACAAAACAACTAAAAAAAAAAAAAAAGACAAGAATTTTTCCTTACTCAAAGATTACTCTCCTAGCAGAGATTTCAGGCTATATTCTAAGGTTATTCCTAGCTCCTTTCTCCTGGACTTGCTCTGGTTTCCTGCCCACTTCAAACCTTACCAAGATCTTAACTTTGTTCCCACACAAGTTATAGGATACCATGCTAGCCAAGTACGATTGAGGCCAACTGTAACATGAATTTAAACTGTGCTTAGTTACATTTCAGATGGAGACAGGGAATAATTTAACTTATGATATAAATTGAAATTTAAAATTTTGCAATAATAGGGATGGCCATTTTCCTAATATTAGTCACTGCTCCCTAAAAGTATTTACTGAGTTAGATGCAAGTGATTCTGTATGGCATGAACTGCTAAGTAAAAGGCTTTTTTAGGTACTGAGAGTATTATAAAATAAGATATCAGGGGCCAGCCTGGTGGCACAGTGCTTAAGTTCGCACATTCTGCTTTGGTGGCCCGGGGTTCGCTGGTTCAGATCCCAGGTGTGGACTTACACACCGCTTGGCAAGCCATGCTGTGGTAGGTGTCCCACATAGAAAGTAGAGGAAGATGGGCATGGATGTTAGCTCAGGGCCAGTCTTCCTCAGCAAAAAGAGGAGGATTGGCAGCAGATGTTAATCTGCTAATCTTCCTCAAAAAAAAAAAGAAAAAAAGAAAAATCTACTGTTCACAATAAAGGCAAGTTAAAAAAAAAAAAAAGATATAAGATCTAGTCCCTGGCTTCAAGAAGCTCAACTCTAGATAAGGGATAAACTATGCAAAGGAAAAGCTAAGTAACATTGACAGGAAGAGCTCAGAGAATGGCTGTAACAATGCCACCAGGTCAGAAGAGCAGTAACCATGAGCCCATTAGGACCAGTTCGAACTGACCCCATCTTATCAACAGATTGATGAAGAGTTGTTTCTCAGGGGCAGTGAGCAAAAGAATTGCAAGTCACGTAGCCAGAGGATGCACCGAGGAGAAAGTCTTGACACCTAGAACCAAAGACTCCCCCACCCACAGAGCCGAAGGACTGGGACCCAGCCAGGACTTGAAAGTCAGACTTCTCATCAGAAGCTGAGGGATCCGTTATCTGGGAAGAACCGGTGTTGAAACCCCTTCCACATCTTCCCATAAGGGTTCAAAACCCTCCAGTGAAAACCTGCCCCATCAGTGCTTCCACATACCAGCCTGTTCCCCTAACCTCTTAAATTTTGCTCCAAGCCCTGGACTGGGGAGACAGATTTGGGAGCCTTGCCTCCTGTCTCCTTGCTGGTCAACCTCACGATAAAGCCTTTTCTCAAAAGCCAGTGATATAATTATTGGCTTTTTATGTGCATCAGTCAGAGAACCTCCTTTTTGTGCGGTAACAGAGGGAGAGGTCTCTAGGGGCTCCAGTCATGGGAAGAGACTAAGGAAGGGAATTGAGCTGACATGGGCCATAAAGGATGGGTAGGATTTGGCTAACCTGAGAAAGACGCAGAGCATTTCTCAGCAGATCATGAGGAAGACTGCATGATAAACATGCACATGGCATACGGGAGGCACCGAGTAGACTAATGTGGTTGATTTCTTCCCCTCTCTGCTGTAGGGATTGTCTCCAACGTGCACATTCAGTCACATTCTGACCAAAGGGGCGGAGTATTAGCAACCTCACACTCCCAAGCCTGGAGATCAGGAATTAGTCTTGCTATGGTAGTTAATAAATACCTACTACTAGACTAATATGATATTGTTATCTATAATACGAAATATGTATTTGGTCTTTATCCTCATTTCTGGCACAGAGCTTGTAAAACCCTTGGCGTTTTCCAGGATGAGAGCGATAAAGATGTCTTTCGTAATGTTAATAACATGACTTTTGGAAAGAACCTACAGATGAGGCTGGTTGCCAGGGGAGCCAACCATGTGATTAGAGGGTTGGAAATTTCAGGTACACACAAGCTCCCCTGCCCCCACCTCCAGGAGGGCGGGGTTAGAGGTTGAGTCAATTGCCAATGGCCAACGATTTAATCAATCGTGCCTATGTAATGTTGTTGTTAGTGTTGTCCAGTCAATTCTGACTTCTAGCAACCCTGTGTACGGCCGAGCAGAACCCTGCCTGGTCTTTTTGCTCCATCCTCTCCCCTTCCAGCGTTATATCAGCCGACGCTCTGCTGCTATTCACAGGGTTCTCATGGCTAACTTTTTCAGTAGTTGCTGGTCGGGTCCTTCTTCTTGGTTTGTCTTAGTTTGGAA